TCGCCAGCAACTAGAGAAATCTAAACGAAGGTGGCACGGATGAGGATATCATACCCAGAGAGGACCGGAAAAGCAACACAGACCTTCATTCATCTGGAATCAGCGTGACAATCTACTTCACTCAGCATAAGGAACAAGATCTGAACTTTCAACACTAACGTCAAGTCAGTAAGTGATTCTACATGGTCCGAGGACTCACTGGATGCGTCACGAAAAGCGTTTACAACAGACTACTGCAGACTTTCGTCGACACCTGCCTTTGTTAGCTTGACAACAAGGAACTCTAGCAGGCAAGGAACCCACCACGAACCCACCACCCAAGAAATATGCAGAAGGAAATGATGATGCGTTGGACATACACTGAGGAAACGGTTGAATGACATCATGTGTCAGGCACAGCCTTGAGTAGAACCCTGATGGGTAGAAGACGAGTAGGGGGTCCGTGGGTGATGTGGAGGAGATCGTGTGAACGGGAAATGAAAATTTATGGGTGATAGTGAAGCCAACTAAAGAAAACAATAGAGAACAGTGTGAAATGGCGATGTGCTCTTGGAGCCCTAAGTTCCACTGTGATGAGAGCTGGCTGCTAGCCAAATTGGTAGGCAGTAATTTATGTCAATGTTTACCTCCCCAATATTGGTCGTGAGAAAAATAAGAACAAAGACTGATTCAACAACCAACCACAGAAGACTTTGCGTAGGTGGATACAATTTGCAGATAGATAATCTGAACTTCAATAAACGGCCATAAAGAGATGGAAGATTAATGTTCAACGAGAAACCACCAATCAGAAGACTGTGTTTGTTTGCTTACAATAATCTGAAATAATGTACATGAAAATCTATAAATATGTGTTGATTTCCTAAATAAACGATATGTTGCCTGGCCCTTGTCTTCTGTTGTTACATTTGGTGTCGCTGCCTACCGACAAATGGAAAGCCTATGCCCTGCAGTTTTTGATGGAGACATATGGATCTTCGGGCAGGACTTCAAGGCTTCTGCGCAGTTGAGTGGCGTTCAAGATCTGTCAGCGATGAGGCTGTTACTCGGGACGCTTCTGGGAGGTCGGGAGAAAACAGCATATGAAAGTGTGAGGCGAAATACCGACGAATGTGCGACAGGGTCAAGCAAACAGTTTTCAAAGTGGGAAGGACCACATATGGTCACGTTGAGATGGGGTTACGCAGACATAATAGCAATGGTAAGCAAAGAGAAACAGGTGAACATCAGCGAGCGCCGAGATTCTAGACAGCAAGACAAACGAACAAAGCCCCTGAAAACAAAGAAGACCGAACCAACTTCAGTCGAAAGTCTTTGACGGGGCGACGAGTGTGTTGAGAGCTGGCTGCTAGCCGAATCGGTAGACAGTAATTTACGTCAATAGACGGGAATATCTAAAATTCAATGAAATAATTTTCTAACATACTTCACAGGTTTTATGGCTTCATCCTCCAACAGATCAGCATCACCAGCATTAGTATGACTGTTATTATTGTGATCCACCGAGGAATACTTGTTCAACCATAGGATTGTTGAACAGACTATGTTGAAGATTGAATCTATTCCTAGGGAATATGATTGTGTTTGTGGTGGTGTATTGGAATCACAAGAATTTACTGTGATGTTTTTATCAGGAAGAGAAGGCACAGCAGTAGAATATTTCATTATTGAATAGCATAAACGACAGGTTAGCACTGAGAAATGTATAATTTTTCCGTTGAGAATTTCTGACAAATTAGTTGACTTTGTTGTGTATTCGTGTAGTTTAGTTATCATTGCAAATCCATTATCTTTTATTCTGTTGAGTGTTTTCATAATTTGTACATCATTATGAAGGGCTGAAATATATAAAGAATAAAATGAAACACCTAAAAATATGGTGAAGGCTAAATACAATTCTTAAGCTTGATTACAAACTGACTTCACTTAGAGAGGAGCATTGAAAACCACTGCGGGGGGGAACTGGACAGCTACTTTGTTTGGATTTGGAACTCCCATGCAGTATTATTCAAGATTCAATGGGATAAAATATCAAGATGTGAACATTGATCATTTTTTGGAGTCTGGCAAAGTTGGTGATACAGAAAGCAGTTAAGAGTTTGTGTGAAGACTTGTCTTTTACTTTAATAAGATCCGGATCTTCCACTCCAATGTGAAGTCAGTGCTACTATACGGACCAGAGACTTGACGCGTCATAAAGAGCATCTCTAACAAACTACAGACCTTCATTAACAGTTGTCTTCGCTCAATACTCAAGGTCAGATGGCCAGAAAAGATCAGCAACAGAGATCTCTGGCAATGAGCGAACCAACCAGGAACCGATTGTGAAACAAATAGGCATGAAGAAATGGAGATGGATTGGCCATACTCTTAGGAAACCATCAAGTGACATCACTAGACAAGCCGTTTCTCGAGTGGAACCCGGCTGAAAGGGAAGCGACGAGTTGGTCGTCAGTGGGAGGGTGACTTGGAGGAGGTCATGTGAAGAGGAGATGAAAACGTGTAGACAGACTTGGAGCCAGATGAAGACTCTAGCAGAGAACCGAACTCAATGGAGACGCACGTCTGAAGCCCTATGTTCCTCTAGGAATTAAAGGAAACAATAATAATAATAAATCAGTGAAGTTTCAATGAGTAAACAGGGTAAAGACACGAGTTATTCAAATCGACTTCATAAACTCCAACTCGGAAAACAAAGTGATAATATACTCGAATCGAGTACCTAACCTAATGAACTACAGCTCCACCTGATGTGCCAATAAATCAGCATACAAAGTTCCGTTTTGCTAAACAAAAAATAAACCTGCAAACAATTAAAATATCCCTATTCGGCATTAAGAATTCCGACGGTAAGAGACGAATGGAAGAAAGCTATGGACCTAGATTTCGTGCCCATTCACATTCATAGCCAAGGAGTATCTGCAACCACGAATTAGGTGATATCCTTAATGTAAGGGTAGAATTTGGGCAGTGTAATAGAATGTCATTCCATGCAGAGATTCGAATCAGCATTATCCAATGCTTGATTTATTCGGAGATGTTACCACAGACCTATTCAGACCAACCATGGGATAGTAAGTTTCACACCTCACTAACCAGATTGGAAACTTGACTGACAGAATTCAGTCAACATTTCTAAAGACTGGAGATACAGAATTAATCACACTACAGGGATCAATCAGAGACAAAGCAGAAAACTATTCAACATTAGATTAAAGTCACCAATATACTTAGTATTATACACCGTAGGTAGGTTAAGATTTTTGATTCACACTGACCTAATAATAAAAGGCATCCTTCATAACCTTTGCACAACTTGTCACTTGGGTTGAAAAAAAAGTATTTTAACAATTAATTAACGTATCCAAAAATGAATTCATAATTCCATTAATAATTACCTTTAATTAAATTTTCTTCAGTAATGCTGAGAAAGATCCTATTCAACAAGGATATACATGACTGCCAGTTCGGTAGCTGTGGTATGTAAAACAGAGAGAGAGAGAATAAGAACAAAACACTATACGCAATTACAATTATCTAATTTGTGGAAGAACTTTGTTGAAAATTATGCCGGAGAACAGAAAGTAACACTTAAAAAATTAACATAAATGCAGATATAACAAGGTTATGCGAAGAAGAAAAAAGCTAAAATTAAATTTATGAAGTTAGCAACGATGAAGTGCTGCATCTGAGTGGCGTTTTTTTAAATATTCATCAGAGAAGTGTACTTGTAATAATGATGGAACCCTGAAATTTTAACCTATCTCACTTAAATGCATGACGGTATGAACTTTACACTGGTATGAGCGGTTGGATACCGCTCACATTAATCAATACTGTCTGCTAGGCCAGCCATATTGAAGTGATCTAAATACCAGGGGACCGTTCCACTCGTTTGCGGCCGAGATCATAAGCTGTGTAATTGATTTAATTCAGCTATTATTTATTATTATTGTTCCCTTGGGTTCCTAGTGGAACATAGGGCTTCAACTGCACGTCTCCACTTGTTTCTGTCTTCTGCCGTACTTTTCACTTGCATCCATGTTAATCCATACTGTTTCAGCTCCTCTTCACACGATCTCCTCCATGTCACCCTTGGACGTCCCACTCGCCGCTTCCCTTTCAGGTTCCACTCGAGCACTGGCCTGACGCGCGATGTCACCCAGCGACCTCCCCAGCGAGTGTCCAATCCATCTCCAATTCCTCCTGCATATTTGTTGGGCGATTGGTTCTTGTTTTGTTTGTTCCCATAGTTCCTTGTTGGTGATTCTTTCCGGCCATCTGATCTTCAGTGTAGAACGAAGACAGTTGTTGATAAAGGTCCGCAACAGGCTGTTGGAAATATTCTTTGTGACCCACCAAGTTTCTGATCCATCCGTATAGAAGAACTGACTGACTTGACGTTTGTATTGAAAATCCGAATTTTGTTGTTGATGCTGAGTGACGAAGATTACCAGATTAGTTTCAGGTTGATGAATTAGTTCAGTCCACCCAAATTCTGATTAGCTACTTGAAAGAACCAACACACAGTAGATCATATATTGTGATCTGAATAATTTCGTTTTCCAAAGGAAACTATGATGAAATACCACTTCGTACTGTGTAATTTGCAAATTATGGTGGTTCAGCGGTGGAACACTGACGAAGCACGCCTCAAGTGGTCCGGGGTTAAATCCCCGGCCACAGATGCACTCCTAAACCTTCCTAAGTCGGTATTAAGACCGTTAAGGAGGGAAGGTTTGGCGTGAGGCTAACAACCTCACTTCATAAAAATGAAACCACTGCTTCTGGAACTTCAAAGCTCTAGCTTGAAGCCCTATGGCCCACTCGGAACGTAAAGGGACTAAATAATGACAATAATATTAAACACTTAGTCTGGAAGTTACCGACTTAATCTACAAAGATTTTCAGACTACGCGCTCATTATTTATGATTGTTCAGCCCAGTGTTTCCTTTGCTCCACTTCTTTGGTGAGTGACTTTCCATTGTCATCCTTCACCGGCTTGATTTGTGTTGAACGTTTTCCCGATAGGTACCTAGTTGTTTGGTAGAGTGTTGCGAGGTCTCCTTTGCCTGCAGCTTGTTCTGCCTCACTAGCATGGTTTCATAGTACTTTCTTATGTCTTCTCTGGCACTCTTCTTTACTCCTTTGTTCAGTGTCTTGTAGCTTGCGTTCAAATCCTGTTTTTGTTGCTCATCGGTGCACTGGATTGGACATACTCTTAGGAAACCATCAAGTGACATCACTAGACAAGCCATTGCTCGAGTGCAACCCGAAAGGGAAGCGGCGAGTTGGTCGTCAGTGCAAGGGTGACTTGGAGGAGGTTATGTGAAGAGGAGATGAAAACGTGTGGGCAAACTTGGAGCCAGGTGAAGACTCTAGCAGAGAACAGAACGCAATGGAGACGCACGGCTGAAGCCCTATGTTCCTGTAGGAATTAAAGGATACAATAATAATAATAATAATTTATGATTGTGCTGGTGAAGGGAAGTATGGCAGTCAGAGTTTTTAAATACTCATACCTGAAATGAAGTTATTTGAGTTTGTCAAAGTTGACAAAAGATCAAACGAATATAGGAGCATAAACTCGATTAATACACAACCAAGTAGGATTACTGACAGACTTTTATTGATATTTGGGTAGAAATAACCTGGCTGCTAATATTTTAATGACTTCTACATTTTGAAAAATGCCAAAAGCGCAGAAAATAATAAGGGCTCGGTGGATATGAAAACACAGCCAACAGTCAGAATACAATTAAAGGTATAACTATAATGATAATAATAATAATAATATCTGACTTTCGACCAGACAGATGTAAATGCCAGAGCTAAATAGTTTGACATTTTTATTCTTCCCGGTATTCGTAATACTTTATTATTCTACATTTAATATGCTCGTATATTCTTTTCGTTTACTTTAGTAGCTATCTACAACAAGTGATTAGTTTTCTCCTGCATACTAATTACGAAATGTGTGGAATAATAACAACAGTCTAACTGTTTCATTCCAATACTAAATCAATTCACTGTTCCAATTCGACGAAAGTTCATGATTTCGAGGAAGCACCTACGACGAACGACAAAATTGGCTCATTAATTTAAACACTCAACTAATCAGCCAATAATGGGCTTCGAGTTCGAATCCCGCCGCATCTACTTTAATCTGAGCAATGGAGGAAGTAATATCAAAGGACTTCCTGTAATAAGTGTGGTTCATAGTTTCGTACATAAGGAATCTGTTCCAGGTGAATCAGTTTTATTTTATGATAACAGAGTTAGAATGAAGATGCTCTCAACTCAGATGAATGATTTTAGTGTTGTCTTTCCAGTGCTAGATGATTTATTCTTGAGACTTTTATTGTTAGTTCAAATCAATTATTATTATTATTATTGTTTCCTTTAATTCCTAGAGGAACATAGGGCTTCGGCCGTGCGTCTACATTGCGTTCGGTTTTCTGCTAGAGTCTTCACCTGGCTCCAAGTCTGCCCACACGTTTTCATCTCCTCTTCACATGACCTCCTCCAAGTCGCCCTTGCACTGACGACCAACTCGCCGCTTCCCTTTCGGGTTCCACTCGAGCAATGGCTTGTCTAGTGATGTCACTTGATGGTTTCCTCAGAGTATGGTCAGCCAATCCATCTCCATTTCTTCCTGCCTATTTGTTTCACAATCGGTTCCTGGTTAGTTCGCTCACTCCCAGAGATCTCTGTTGCTGATCTTTTCTGACCGGCCATCTGATCTTGAGTAGTATTGAGCGAAGACAACTGTTAATGAAGGTTTGTTAAGGTCTGTCTAGTCAATACCTTCAACTTAAGCTTCAAGTAGATGTATGATATTACAATTTCTCCTCAAATAAATCAGCAGTATTCCTGGATAACCACCGATGAAGGAGTCGCAAAACAACAAACATCGTTAAAGAGAATTTCACCGAAACAATCAACCGGAAGCTCAATTGTAATGTTAGATTATCAAGACATGTGAGTAAATTACTAGTAAAAGAAGCCCTAAAAGGGTATTTCTTCCTAAAAATTCACACTAAAGATACTGACTAGAATGACAATGAAAGTTTCACAATTAAGCCATACAGTCCAGAGGACACTATGTTGCTGATGTACCTCAAGTATTAATTATTTACAATGACCAGACCATTTCGTTGACGAATCAATTTATCACTGTTTGCCCTGAACAATCGTTAAATTTTTGTTACGCAACCTGTTAGTTATGCATAATCTCTCTTATTGGGAATTATTAACTCAAAAGCAAACAAGAATATTGATTAAGGGATAATGAGTAACTGTTATGGAATATCTTATAATAATAATAATAAGTAATCAAATATAACACTTGTACGTCAGTGGTTCAGTTGTAGAACGCTTGAAAGTCTCTCAGAAGATCAGGGTTCATTTAATCGACGATGCACTCGTAAACTTCGTCTAGTTTACCGGCTGGTAGTGAGCTCAGGACAGATGGAAGACTAGACAAGAGCTTAGTAACCATAACTAGTAAGCCCAGTACCATCGCTCTCTGTTCCACTCGGGACAAGGAAATGTCTAACACTTAACGAAGTATGAAGAAATAAAAAATATGAATTACCCTTCTGCATAACACAATCGTATTTCACAATTTGTTTGAAAATACAAAAAGACTTAAGGTCACTTGAGGTCAGGATTGTATGGCAATGCTGTCAACAAGATAACACAGGAAATAAACACAAATGAGGTTAAGTGTAATGCCATCATCTTAGACTTCCAAAATTGACAAGTAATCGGAAAACAGTCTCACATAGGTTTTAGTGTATTTATTTCTACTGTTCGGAAGAGATCTAGCACACAAATCAACACAATCACTTCATTCAATAGTATGCAGACTGAAAGACTTAAAAGCAAAAGAAGACAAGATCAATACACCATCTACAACATAAACTGCATGAACCTGTGATAAGCACTATATTAGTCGGAATAGGCATTCCCTTCTACTCCGAATTCAAGAAAATAGACTAGCTGTTTGGGAAACATGTGTATTCTTACCTATCGATGCATGTAAAGAACTATGGACACCAAGTTTTCTGGAAAAATGTAGAGATTTTAAACAGAGAGAACACCATGAATGCAAGGGAATTCCCAGAAGTTTGGTACTCAGACGAATCTCCGATTAACAGACACATTATTATACCTCAAAATTCATCAACTAATGAGGAATAAGCCACATGGCAAAAAGCAGTCAAATTCCAAATGAATAAGAACGAAAAGTACTGAGACAAATTAACAATCAGTCACAACAGAGGTTGTCAGGAGATACAATTATATCACTCATGAAGAATGCCAATAAGTTCACTCCATATTCAAGTTTGCACTGAAGGCGTTGGTTAAGAAGGCAATGAAAGCTTCGCAATCAAAATCACTCAGCTCCAAGAAATCAACCACACCAAAATCATCATCCACCTGAGCTGAAAATCTATTATTTCAACCT